CATCTTATAACAATGGATTCTGTTGAATGAAAGTATAGGATGCATAATTATTCACTAATTTTCTTGTTTCTGAAATCTACAACAGCAAGAAACTGATTGCTTAGCTGATTGGTCTGTGAACATGGGATAATGTGCAGCTTCAGGCTGGTGCAACACATCACTGGTCCTGTCCATTGGTGCTTAAAGCTCAAGATATGGCTGACCTTTGCACCATTTGCAGGTACTCTACAGTAGTTCCCTTTAAAGCGGTCCTGTTTATGACTTCTCTCGTAAGTCATCTCCATTTCTACACAAAGAGCTTTCAGGCATGACTTCTTTGAAGCAGTGTTGGTTGTAACTTCCACTTCCTGATAATTGAACCAGCAGTGATCACTAGGGCATCCAAACACTTTTTATTCTTGGATCTGATGCAATTTTTTTTTAATCCAAAACCTTAAGTCTTAAGTAGCACAGGTATATTTGTAGCAATAGCCAAAAATACATTGTATGGGTCAAAATTATCGATTTTTCTTTTATGCCAAAAATCATTAGGATATTAAGTAAAGATCATGTTCCATGAAGATATTTTGTAAATTTCCTACTGTAAATATATTAAAACTTAATTTTTGATTAGTTTTTTTTTTTTTTATTATGCTTCCATTTACAACAAACAAGGTACATAAACACGTCACATAATCTAACAACACGTGAACAGCCTTAGGTTGAGCATAACCAGTGATAAACAAGATCACAATAAACCAATAATAAAGAAGAAAAGAAAAGAAAATAAATAAATAAATAGAACAAATAAAACAAACAAACCAAAAGGGGCTTTTTACATTAGTTTACATGCCCCAAAAACGAAATCAATTTGAGAGCGTTCTTGTTTTTAACCAATTCTAAAGATTTGCACAAAATTTTAACCTCATTAATAATTCTATTATATATTCTATAATAAATAATTATAAGTATTAACAGAACACTGCAGTTGGAATTTTTCACAGAATTCTCTATACAGTAACACATTTCCATTATCATCCAAGAAATGGGCAATCGCCCAAATTCCTTTTGATTTCCATTCCTCAAAATATACAGACTTTCTGCCAATCTTTATATATCTATTATTCCAAACTGGAGTGTTGTGAGGTGTGAAGTTATGTTTGTACAATAATTTCCAATAGAGCAGCACTTGCTGATGGAAAGCTGAAAGTTTAACTGGTAACGAGGTACACTCAAAATCACAACGTAGAAAAAAATGTATTCCTCCCAGTTTGTTAAAAATTGCACTGGGGACAATAAACCAAAAAGAACTGCTATTGTGAATGAAGGATTTTAACCATTTCAATTTCAGAACACCATTCATAATA